TCTCCAACTGGGTCATAACTTTTTGCTCACCATTTGCACCATATAAGAATATCCCTGTTCCTTCCCACAGCATACACCCTGAGGGTGGGAGAGGGGGTGGAAAGGGGTTTTTGTGTTGATCTTTCCTACTGAACTTTGAAGTCTTCCACAGATCCAGAGGAATTACAAAGCAAGCATATGCTTGTCACGTAAGAGGGGGGGTCGTGACATTGACAAGATTTCTTCGACACGCTATTATTCTTTTCCCTGCCAGGGTTTTAGCGGGATAAGCTGCATCCCGCGAATGGTAAGCTTCCGGCTTTCTGGTGGCTGCGAAATGCGCTGGAATTCCGCAAAATCGCACTTTTTTCTCATCTTTGTGTCTATATACTGGAGCTCAGCAAAAATTAGACCGAGTCGTGGGAAAATATGCATGAGGAAAGCGAAAAAAGTAGAATATTATCCCCCTGCTGAAACACAAAATTTTAGGCCAGACAATTTCTTCATTCTCCTGCTGCTGAACTGTTTATGAAATTATGTTTCGGATAATGGACTGCCTTGAAGTTGTTTTGCTCTGGAAAAGGCGAATTTTCAGTGAAAAAAGTGTGGACTAGGTTTTTTTTTCCTATGCGTCATCTAACATGGAATTTCATCTAAAATTTGTAGGTATATAAAGCACAGGATTCTTCCTGATCAACAAAATCAGACAAATAAAATTCATTGAAAATCTAATCAATAAAATAATTTACTGTACTGTTATAGTATATTGATACTGTCTTCATTTCAGGGGTACACGGATTGTAATAAATCATGATATATTTTTATACTGTTTGTGAAAATGGATTTGGATTCTGAGGCATATTTCCAGATTCCATAGACTTTGATACACTTTTGAAGAAATGTAACAAACCTTTTTTTTCAATTTTTAATTAAAATAAAAGTGTATGGTGCATCTTAAATTTGGATGGATAATATTAAATTTTTTGGGTGGAACACCCTTTAAGTAGCTTCCCAAAAATTCGAAATTGTGATAAAGATATCAATTGTATTTGTTTGAATAGATGAAACTTTTACTGAATAAAGACTGGATTAAAAATAATTCCTTGATTCTAAAGAAGATAAATGCAATACAAGCAAACATGATTTCAAAATTACAGGCCATATTTTATGGGCACAGAAAAAAATAAGAGTGGGTTATGTAATCAGTTATGTTCTAATAATATTTCGAGTACTGAAGTACGATTGGAATTGAGAAAACCCTGTGATTCAAAAATCTGGATATAATAAAAAATTATTAAAGACTCGCAGCCACATCTTATTTTTCATTTTCCAGACAAAAAAAAAATCAAGAACAGCTTGTGATTGGTGGAATCTTAAAATATTGTAGGAACAAATCTCAGTGCAACAAATTGTTGCTCACAATAAACTAGTTTTTTTTAGATCATTGTCCCTCTTCACTTCTTCAGTAGCCGCAATTGTAGTTAAATTTATTTAACAGATTTTTTTATTGAAGTATACAGTAGAGTAGAATATTGTTGCGGAAAATCTTGATGCAACATTTTATTCATAGCAATAAATTGGTTTTTAGGTCCATGTCCAATAACCACAATAGCTCGCGAATTTCTTCACCATGGTTTTTTCCAATGAAGGTTAAAAAAAATTCTTATAGGGCATTTGTTGTGTTGAAATTCTAGTGTTTCTTATATACAGCAGTTGAACCTCCCCAAGTCAAATTTCAAGTAACCAGGAAAAAATATTTGACTTAGAGAGGTTTCAACTTAGGAATGTTTCTAGTTAGGAAAACAAGAATTTTTTTAGAAAAAATAAAAGAATTGCAGGAAATTGTAAATTGTGATATTCTGGGCCTTGAAAATTACTTCTTTGATGAGTTTGCAGCATATGCTGAACTTGGAGGCAAGGGTTCATTTGCCCAATCATCACTTCCTTTTAAAAACCCATTATGTTACTTGTTTTATTGCTTTTCTCTTTCATATTTCAAGAAAATAATGGTCAACAGGCTGCAGAAAATTTGATTTACAGAGGTTTGAGAGAAAAATACTTAGAGTTATGGAGGTTTTAATGCATTATTGTTTTTAAGGGAATTCAGATGGGGCCTTGAAAAAAATTTTACTTAGCAAAGTATCCAACTTAAGGAGGTTTGACTTATCAAGGTTCAACTGTACTATAACAATAACTTGGGTCTTTAGGTCTATGTCCAATAGTCACAATGGCATCTTAATTTCTTTAAAATGATTTTTTCCAACCAAGTTTTTTTTTTCATAAATTTCACAAGACCTTTGTTGAGTTTAAAATTTTCTTTGTTTTTTACCCTTGTGGAGATTCAGCACTCGCTGAGATGCAGAATATGAAAGGGAGGAAGCTGCTTATTTTTTGGAGTGGCGGCCAAAGTGGCGCCCTTCTGCTCCAGCGCAGGGCGTGAGCGAGGACCTCAAAAAGCGCCTCCGCCCCGAACTTGGACCGTCAGACGGTTCTCAGCCGTTGTTCCCCACAGTCCACCTTGTTGTGCTCATATACCAGGTCAGGTCAGGTCGACATTGTTCGATTTCCGTTCCAGAACCCCTCCGAGAATAACGAAGAACACACGCTCTTGTTCTCATCACTCAATTCTTCTGTGTGTGTCTGTGATTTTTCCCAGTCCGCCAGTGTTTCCAAAAAAAAGGAAGGTACAGTACTGTACTGATGTACTGAAAAATTTATCCCATGTGCTCGGTGGATTATTTGCGAATATAATTGCATCAAAAAGTGCGGTTCGATGTTCTGTAGAAGTATTTGTCAAAATGGAAAGTTTTGTTCAAACAGTTGAGCCGGAAATTTACCGAGGCATCCATTTTATTTTCAACAATTTACTCAGAAAAACTAGGCTGAGTCTCACATTTGTTTATATACAGTATTTGCATTCTAACATTATCGAAAAATTCACAGCTTGAGTATTTCATCATTTCTCAACAATAACACAGTTGTGCGGGAAGAAACACTTGATACATTCCTTTTTAAAAAACAAAAATTCTTACACAATCTTGAATTCCTTTTTTTTTCTCCCAGCGGATCACTAATACAATTTTGAAAACAATATTCTATTTTTCTTTTAATGAAACTTCTCTCGAAGTTTCCAAGTGTTTATACGCAGACCTTTCCAGACGATTTCAAGAAAATGGAAAATGCTTACGTAACATCAGATGTCAAGAGCATCAGTATCGTCAAATTATGATTGTATATAATTTTTCCCACGTATTGAAAAGCATTTTGATTTATATTTTTCGTCCATTTCCAAAAAAAAAGAGCCTTCAATTGAAGATGCGGTTTAACCCATCTGAAATTTAAAATAATTACTAATGATTGAATGGTGAGAAAAAAGTCACTTCCCATCTGTTCGTAAAGGCTGAGAAATTTTGAAATTCCGGTTTTTATACATTATAAAATATGGAGAATTTCAAATCGGCACGCAATTATTAAATTTTCAGGACTCAAACTCACCGTGGTTTGGTTAAAATTGTAAAATGATTTTATTTTTCAACGCGTTCCCAGTGAGTTTTTTTTTTTTACATCTTGACATTTTGTCAGGAATCTTCAAAATAACCTCTTGGTCTCTTTGAAACTTCGAAGATAAATAAAAGGCCACCAGAAAAGAAAAATAAGTTTCATAGTAATTATGAAATTTAAAATGCAATACTGTATCGATTCCTGCGAGAATTTGATAAAATTTATCAATTTTAAGGCTTTATAATGTCCGTAGAGCTATTTAAAGAGTGCTTTAATATCATTGTTGTCAATTATAATGCAGATTGGATTTTGTCAGTGTAACTGTACTTTGTTTGAAAAATTCCTCTTGCACAATCATCATCTTTAAGCCCATTTTGTTCATAATTTTTCAATTTCCGCAAGTGAAGCTAGATTTTCCATGGTTAAATTGAAATGCCTGTCTTATCAGAATATTTTTTTGAAATTTCACTGACCATCAAGGCGAAATAAAAAAAACCAATGAATTTATCGTAACATAACCCCGGAGAATCGATTTTATATGCGTATAGTCAACATTTTTAAGCACACTTCCGTGTTCACATGCAGAAACGTTGTAATTTCCTTCCTTTTTTCAAAATACGGGACTCATTATGTTCAGAAAAAATAAGCACACACTTGTCGACGCATTTAACGGAAATTGCGAACAAATCAACGAGTGTCGGACAAAATGCAGAAAAGCATGGAAATGAGACAGAAGCTTACGTAACAGACAAAAAGGTGGTCAAAATAAAAAACCTTCTGAAAAACAGTCACGTTTCGTCGGATTTTTTCATCAGCTAAGTTCTGCAGAATTATTGAAATTTGGAAAAAAAAACCTGCAATTATGAGGATTAATTTGATGTAAAACGCGAGGAGAGAAATGCAACAAACCTCGAATAATCCAGAACCGGACGAATGAATCATTTCATTCGCTTCACTAATAACTTTTTCGAAGTAAAAAAAAAAAATTTGATCGAGCGAAAGAAAGTCAAAGATAACCGGAAAAAACTATTTTCGAAGTCTATAAGAAAAATACATTTTCCAAAACAATCTACAGTAGTGTAATCTGCTCTAACTTTTCAGAAAAATTCGCTGATGCGTGATTTCATGACACATTTTATGCACTTGACACGATTCAGAAAATCGAACAAGATATTTTTCTACCTAAATATATATTTAATAACTCAGTTTTCAAATAAAACTCACATTTTCAAGGCAGAATCATTTTCGTTCAGTGTATCATTCAAACTCATTTGATAAACATTTAAATGATTGTCGTGTTTATATATATATATTTTTTTTTATACCATTTCCAAAATAAAACATAAATTTTATCGGAAAAATGAAGGTGCTGAAATAATTTTTTATGCGTCCGCAATTACTTAATCAGAAAGTGTCGAAATTTCAGGTACGTTTATAATTATTTTTTTCTTTAAAACGAAGCGCGGGAAAAGAGAATTTTAGAAGAAAATTCGGTTAATTAGTAGGATTCTGTTTGTTCCAGGAAACAATATTTTCTTCCGAATCGCCAAAGGCCAAAGAGAGCATTGGCAGACGCAAGAAATATTGCAAAAATAACAAAAACAATTTATTCAACAACAAAAAGAAAGACGGAAATGTCGTCAATGTCTGGTTCTAATCGTCGGATGAATCAAATATTCATTCTTTTGTGGAGTCTGATGACTGTGGCTGCAAACCCGCTGCAATTGGATGGAAAGTCATTCCTGTCCATTCAGAGGAAAGACAGTGGCGAGGGACTTCCAGGTTAGTTTTATATTCTTCCTCCTTTCTATATATAGGTAATTGAAAAAAAAATTCACCAACTTTTTTCAAGATAAAAAAAAACCTCATAGATCAGCAAATATAAAATGGGCTGACCCATAATTTATAATACTGTACATATACACATGATGATTTCCAAATCATCAGAAAGAAAGTAAACTCTTGGATAAGAAAGGGTGCTATCAGGGACTCCTAGAGGTCGCCCAAAACGCAAACCAACACAACACTGCCACGAACACCAAAATCGAAGAAATCCCACATTTCACGACCAACTAACACTGAAAACCTGCTCCACAAAACTTGACACGCAGAACTTGTTTCTCCTCAAGGCCAAAACCCGAAGAAATAACTCACTGTTCCTCTGAGCTTGGTTCCCCACACTTTGTCCACTGTCTTTGTGTTGTTTGTTTAATAGTGCTGAATCCAAAAGTGAAAACAATTCTATCAACCTGATGTGAATTCCGAAATTACATCTGTTCCTGGAGACTTGGTCTTGACAGCAAATGGCCTATTGTGCATTACATTTATTTCACTTTTGAATGTCTTTGTCAAGATCTAAGGATCCCTGACAGATGTAGTCTGTCAATTTTGTACACTTTAAACTATTGAAACACGTGCACAATTTGTTTAATTGAGGAAAATTTTTAAAGACAGAAAATGAAGGCAAACTGCCCATGAGTTGGCAGCATAAAAAAAAAGATTGAAAAAGAACTTGTGCATTTTTCTGAATTCAAGGGTTATTTTACAAAAGACAATATAACTGTTTTTCCAATATCTGTGACTTTTAAAAATAAATTTAAAAAATAACTATTCACTGTGTATTCTGATTATACAGGATTATTTATTGAGATAATACAATTATTTTAAGAAATACAATTGGACTATCTTTGCAACGAATCTCAAGGGACCATAAAATTGATTGTAGATAACTTTTGTGGAGGAAACCCAATGGGACCACAAAGAAATCGTTGTAATAACAAGATCTTTGTGGAGAGAGACTCTTGTACAATAAAAAACGGAATTAAATAGCATTCCTTGACATTTTTTCCAAAATACAAGTGGAATCTGTAGTTATAGTCTAGAACAATCTTGTTCACAACAATGTTCCACGCATAAAAATATTAATACAGTCCCATTGGGTTCTGTCCCCATATTACAGGTGTTCTCAACAACGAAATTCTTTTTTTAACCAACGAATTTTTTTCTGGTCCCTTGAATTTCGTTTTAGGGAGAGTCCACCTGTAGAATGAAAAAGACGGAATTAAATAGCAATATTTGACATGTTTAAAAAAGTACAAGTGGAATCTCTGTAAAATAGTAAAAAGAAGGAATAAAATAGCATTGTTTGTCCTTTTTAAAAATATAGGTGGACTCTCTCTATACAAGAATCTTGTTTACAACGATATTTCTCTACATAACGGTTTTTTTTGTTCCACAAGGGCCTCTCTCTATTTTCCGGGGCTTCTCAACACTGAAATTTTTTTTAAACGAATTTTTCTGGTTCCTTGAATTTTTTCGGAGCAAGAGTCTACCTGTACATTGAAAAAAGGGAATTAAATGGCATTCCTTGACCTTTTTAAAAATACAGTTGGACTCTCTCTCTCTCTCTCTCTCTCTCTCTCTCTCTCTCTACAGGAATCTTGTTTACAACGATATTCTCTTCTGTGTACAATATAAAATTTTTTTCATGTTTCCTGTTTTGCCTTTCCCCAAGTTATAGAAGGGTTCTCAACAACGAAATTGTACAGGTGAACCCTCAATACAACGAAATTCAAGGGAGCAAAAAATGTTTGAGGGTTCACAAATGTTTGAGGGACCAGAACAGTATTTACAAAACGAATATTTTCTGGTCCCTTGAATGCAACGAAATTCTTTCCAAAACAAACATTTTTTGTTCCCTCGAACTTCGTTGTATTCAAGGGACCAGAGAATATTCGTTTTGTAAATATTGTAATTTCATGTGCGGATTGTGTCCACCTGTACAATAATGCAGTAAAGAAATTGCACAGTAAATTATTGTTCTCAATTAATCTTGATTTTTATCCATTTATTTTCATCTTGTGTTTGTGTGTTTGTCTGTGCTTATTGGAAACAGGGGGCTTCCAGGCAGGCAGGCCCTACGACATAAAGGGCACGATTTGGCTGATTGAGGCCCCCGTGGACGCCAATGAGACGCACGTGCAATTACCTGCCCCGCGGGAACCGACGGATGTGCACCAGCCCGAATACACCCGTGCAGGTGAGCCAGCTTTTCAATTATCCTCTCCCAGAAAACTCATAGGTGTCATACGCATTCATGAGCACCCATGTACATACCCTGCTCATCTTATTCTTCCATGTTCTCTTTGTTGTATACTGTATATACTGTACTTTGCTTGTATTCAGCAAGGGTGAAGCCTGTGCATGTCATGGAGCGATTTTCCTAGTTACTTTCAAAATCTTCATGGGACATTTCAAGAAAGATGTACAGTATATTCAAGCTATATACTGTATATATACTGTGAGACCCCCAGATGTGGACATAATTGGTGCATCAAGAGTGTCCCTAAGTTGAATTGTCCCTGAGTTGAGTCTTGTTTTCCCATAGACTTATATTATATAATTTTTAATTGGTGTTGTACGGAAGGAATATTCTTCAGAATTCCATGAAAAAACATTTTGTTTGCCACTTGAATTTGATTCAGTGAATATATTTTCAACCCAATAAGAACATTTGGAGCATTGAATAGTACAGTATATATGTATACTCTAAAAAAAAAGCCTGGTGTCTAATTGCCACGCAAACAATTGAAGGAACTTAATTGAAGTGCCTTTTCATGCAGTTTTCATAGCAATATGACTATACAGAGTAGTCTGGTACACAAATATTGTAGCTATGTGAACCACAACTACTGAAATTAGGAGATGAAAGGAAAATAATGTAAGTTATCTTTTATAAATTTTACTTTTTAAAGTGATGCAACTATTATACATTATTTGATCTCAGGATATCTTACTTTGTACAAAATATAATGTCTTTAAAAAATCTTCATTATGAATCACCCTCTCTCAAAGTAGTTCTGGGAACCACAGTTGTAATTTGTTTCTGTTTCAAAAATACAAGTTATTTGGTAATGAGGTTTTATTCTAAGATGAGATGTTAATAATATTCATTATTCACCATCAAAATATTTTACTTTTTATGAAATATTCTATTTCAGAAAAAACCCAGCCTTTCTCCTATAAATCTTGTGGATTTGTGATATGGTGACTTTTGAAAATCTCTCTTGAGCCTGCCTGCAAAATATTTTCAGGATTCAATGCTGAGACAGGATGGATTCATTCTCTGAGACAACAGCCAGAGTCTCAGAGGAGTTTTAGCCAAATATACTTGCAGTAATATGCTACAGTATAAAGGTGGTACCTCACAAATTGACTCTGTTGAATTGCAAAGCATTCAAATTGCAAAGCGCTTTGCGAAATTGAGAAATATTAGCACAAAAAGGTGAAAAAGTTGTCAATGCAGGTCAAATTCTGGGGCATAGGTCAAATTGCAAGTCAACCTCTCTAAAAATTTGACCATTGAATTGCAAGGTCAATTCAATGCAGTGTCAAATTGCAAGGTACCACCTGTATGTGTTACTAGATTGGTCTAGAAAAAATGTTGCTCCACAAGGTGAACTTGCAAATCTGTCTCCATGTTAGCAAACACAGTTGATGCTTAAAAACTCAAACCTCCCTGCTTCAATTTTTTTTCAAGTCCCTGTCTGAATTCACTTAGAAACAATGAATTAAAACAGGATTGATTGGTCGATCCCCTTAATGTTTGAAAATGATTATTGGTCTGTATGATGTTCAGCCAAATACTGTAAGAAGATATCCTGAACTGGAATTCAGAGACAGGAAAAACAATGGCTGGGCTGGACTTTAAAGCCATGATTCATACCAAGAATTGAAAGGAATTTCATGATGAAGAATATATTTTTATAATTTAAAAAGCTCAATTTTTACATGTCTCACATTTAGTTTCCGTTGCTTTGAGAATTGCTTTTCTTCATAAGTAATTCAGAAAATTTAGGGAAACCCCTGACAAGATTTTATAACCTGGATAGAAGCCCGTTTTGGAGGCAGGTTTCACTCATCCCTTTGGGTGATGGCATTTCGCCTCCTAGAAAATTGTTTTTGTTCACGGGGTGGATCTCAACATAAGGCGACTTTGTCAGGGTGAAATTCAATCTCAGGTAGTCACCAGTAAAGTTTCCTTGTCGTCTTATGAAAAAGTATCGGATTCTGCTTACACATGGTGACTTTTCAGGACATTTCGTCCTCCTTCTGTTTCTTCCATCTCCACGTACAAGAATCATGTTGATGCCTTGAATATTTGATGGAGTTCAAAAGTTTGTGGAATTATGCATTGAATTCTTAAAGTTTTTCGCATACAGGCTCAAGAAAGATTTTCAAAAGTTTAGGTATCACAACTCCACAAGATTTATAGGAGAAATACTTGGTTTTTTCCAAAATAAAATATTGATTACAATGTAGAATAATTTCATGCTGAAAAATGGATACTATTTTCCTCCCATCTTAGAATAAAACCTATAAAAATAACTTGTTCTTTTTTTTAAACAGAAACAAATTGCAACTATGGTGCCCATAACTACTTTGAGAGCGTGATTCATAATCGAGGTTTTCTACATTTTTACAAAGTAGGATATCTGGAGATCAGCTAATGGATAATAGTTTCATGTCTTCACAGAATAAAATGCATAAAAGATAGCTTCAAATATTTTCAATTTAACCCCTTATTTCAGTTGTTTTTCACAAAACTATAATATTTATGAACCAGAATACAATAGACCAGTGTTCCCCAACCTTTTTGGTCCCGCAGACTGGCAAATAAAAAAGCTCTGTGGACTGGCAAAGTTTAATGCAATTTTTTGAGGACTAGAAAATTTTCATAAAATGTTTTCACATGTGCTCAAAAAGTGTTGCTTGAAAGACAGCTTGAATGGCAGGTATTTGAAAAGCTTCTTCTTTTTTGGAAAATTGATTCAGGATCCAATATAGCAGTTATGGTTAAATGCCTTCAAAAAATGGAAAAGTTTTTTTTTAAGCAAGGTTTTTCATTGCTACTTGTGCAAAATTCATAAGCTTGGAGAAATTTCCTGCAGACAGGCAAAAATTTTCTGCAGACCAGCACCAAATCCATGGACCACAGGTTGGGGTACACTGCAATAGACTAATGTAGTCAAAACAACTGCATGAAAAGACACTTCAAAGTTTATTCAATGGTTTATGTGTCAGTTTGCTTAATGTACAACTCCACCTAACATTCTGTTGCTACCCAGAATACCTCTCTAAGTATTTGCTTTTCTTTCAATGTGTATATTGCAATGAAGGATGTCAACACTGATTCAGGTCAGTATTGTCACATGCTTTCCATGACCTTGTTGAAGTATCCAGATGTATTTGTTCCAATGATTTGAGAGAACACTACCAACTACAATGCTTGTGAACCAGGGATGTACCCGTATTTACTCGAGTACCCCGCGTGCCCTCAAGTAAGGCATGCACAGGGAATTTTCAGTTGAAAATTTTGCAAAAATCTTATCCCCAAGTAAGACACGCACCTCAATTTTTAGTGAATCTAAAACGATAAAATTTCAGAAATAAAAACAAAAATGTGACTTTAGGCGTGAATTGAACAAAGATCTGATGAATTTTCAATTTTTTTCAATGCAAGAATGTTTTCTTGTTATATTTGTTCCAAATTTCTCCATTATAATTAAGTATAATGCAAACATAACTTCCTAAAACTTCTTGAAAATTTTGTACCTGCTTATGACGCGCACCCCTTTTTTTCTTCTGAAATTTGGGAAAAAAGGTGCACGTGGTACTTGAGTAAATATGGTATTTTTTTCTAAAATCACATACAGGCCAGTAGCTTACAAAGTTGGATGCTTTGAAGTTAGTTCAAGGATACTGTGCTTATCACCTCAAATAACTTTTGCTGAAGCCCTTGCATAAGGTTTTCTCTGCTGGAACAAAAGGGAGGAAATGCTCCTTTAGAGAAATGAAGGCACTATAGGAGGCCCTAATGCACACAGACCAGGATTGTTTCCCTCCTCTATATTAAAGTGTACACAGGGGCATTCTGGTGGCAATAATATCCTGTTTCTCCTGGGCTAGATCAAGCTTCTGGATGCACATGTACAACATGGCATTCTCTATTCATGAGGGGTGGTGTTCCTGGATTCCAATCAAGATTGATTTTTTGGTGTCCAAATGCTGACTTTCATTCCATTCAATGGATTTCATTAATCTTCTCGGGGGAATGTGATCTCCTAATGCGCAATGGATTTTTTCCAAGATGAGGGAACTTGTGTTGTTATTTGTGGTTGGGAGTCTTTAATCTGATGATGGAACCCAAATTTCCAACAATAAATCTTCACCACCAGATTTGAGGATTTTTGAAGAGAAAAATACTGTACTGTGAAATGAAGGTTTTTTAAACTTTTTGTTGAATAACTTCAGCCTTGGGTATTCCCTCAAAAACTAATATTTTGATTGATTGATCAGCAAGCTTCTTTATGAAAATAAAGCTTGCTGCAATTATTGTACCCAAATTAAAGCCCAAGGTTTTCAGCCTGCTCCCAGATAAGTTTTAGTTGATTAAACAGGTTGATTAAAGAGATTTGGGACTCATGAAATTCAATGAAACAACTCTTTCCAAAATTATAAAGGACCAAGATAGACTCTTAACTTTATACAATTTCTCAGCAAAGATTCTCTCCAAATAATATAAAGTTATAAACCATTGTACTACAGTATTTTCATATATACTGTGCCATGATACATTTCAGAAAACCCCTGCAAACACATTTGGAAAATTCTCTGAAATTTTTAAAAAGAAAATGTTTTTCTTTAGTTGGAGGAAGGAATTCATTCAAATAAAATTATTCTTCCATCACATTCTCGCTCCCTTCCTTGAATTATTACCTTGAAATTACAATTTATTTCTTCAAAAGCATTCAGTATACTGTACACATGTCAATCTTAATTCATGGAATTTTGGTTGTTTCTACGAGGAATTTGGAAAAAAATATAGCACTACTATAGCACTATATGCTCTAATTTCATTTCGGCAGAAGGCTTATTGAATAAAAGGAATCCACAAATTTTTACGAAAAAGTTTGCTAATCTAAATGTGGATCTTGTCCGTCAAAAGATGGACGAATATATGAATCCTTTCATGCGAAAGTTTCTCTGAATAAAGTTTCAAAATCATCTTGTCATAGAAATTGAAACTTCAGCATGTATAAGGGAAAATATGCCACCGACTCTCGTCGCCTTTGACACGAGGTCGTATACTGTACTTCACCAGCGGGGATAAGCGGTGAATACATGTGTGGAGAGACTCGTTTGGAAACTTCTGGAACCCGTCTGGGTTTGACACTTTCCCTATGGGTTCACATAATGCGAGGTCATTTTCCCTGGGGCTACACATGGCGGGGGACGAAATGTGGGATTGATGGTTCCCTGCTGCTGCAGCAGCTGTTGGGGTATCCGGGGATTCAATTACAAATCCTCATATGCATCCATGTACTTGTACACGTATATACACGGGATCCCATTTGCTACTTTGCACATTAAAAACTTCCATGATGTATCGAAATTTATCAAAAGGATTCATATCTTGAGCTGAAGGGTAAAAGAATTTATGGAAGCAAGAAATTTGGAGGAAGGGAGGAATTTAATTTAGCTGTTTGCCTTGATCCAAATGGAATTAGAAGATGAGGGTTGTTCCTGGCATAAAATAAAAATTGAGTTTACAGTAATATCAATGGATGAAAAATATGAGGGTTGTTTATTGAATGGATTAAAAAATAGTGTTTTTTCCATCTCTCTTCCTTAAATTATTTTCTTTGAAATTAAAATGTTTCTCCTCAAAGAAATTTACTATACACATGTCCATTCATGGAATTTTTGTTTTTGTATGTGGAATTTGGCAGAAACTTCTCTTATATGGGAGTTCAGCAGAGTAGTCAGAGATTTCTCTTGAGAATTTGTGTGCCATTCATATGATTGTAGGGTATATAAAAATACTGTACTGTTATTGTTGATTCTTTTTGGAAAAAATATCTAATTTGGATGTGATTAAACCCAGAAAGTATAAATCATCATCTTAACTTTCCAGTTTTGTGACATGAAAACCCTGGTCAAACCTGATGATGGAGTTTTCAGAAATATGGGTTCCATTATATTAAATCTCTTATATGTTGCTGGAAGGGTAGATGTCACTCTCATTGGTGTTTGAATAAGCATTATTATGGCAATAAGCCTAGTCTTGAGTAATGCTTATTGTTGAAGGTCTTGTTGGAATGTTATTGAACATAAATATAAAATAAAATATTTTTAAACAAAGCCATGAGACAAAGGCATTAATGAATGCAATCTGAAGAGTCCACCACAGTGTGCCAATACTGTACTGCTAAAAATGACAGTAATTACTGTACCACTCTTGTGTGGTTAGCAAAAGTTTGTAATAAGAAGTTTTGCTACAATAAGATTTTACTGCTTATAATTACAGAGGAAAATTTTACAATTTCAACACCAACAGCGACTTTTTCACATTAAAATGGAAATGAAGGGGAAAAACAGAATTCAGTCAAGAATCACATTATGAAGGAAGTAAATTTTCCAGCCTCACTCGCATATTTCATATACTGTACTTTTAGTATGTGTATGTGTAAGTGACCATGTAAAAAATTGAAGAATATTTTTTGACTAGGTCACAGATCTGAAAATCGTCTTGAAATACTAAGAAAAAAAGCGTTTTCTTCAATTTGTATTGCTGATTGTAAAAAATTGTTGCCATAAGACATCACTTGGTGAGAAGCACATTTCTGAATTCCAGCCTGAAATTTAAAGAATTCCCTCTACAATGAACAAAGACTATGATTCTTAGTCATTTCTCTGACTCAGAAACTTGGGTGTTCAAAGAAAAGGGTTCGAAAATACTGCACAATTTTTTTCAACCATCCCTCTTTTAATATTCATTCCATTTCTTACTTACCCTCAGACAAAAGTCACAAAACTAAACAAATATGCCACTCTTGAAATCCCATTTAATTTTTTCATGANTACTTCACCAGCGGGGATAAGCGGTGAATACATGTGTGGAGAGACTCGTTTGGAAACTTCTGGAACCCGTCTGGGTTTGACACTTTCCCTATGGGTTCACATAATGCGAGGTCATTTTCCCTGGGGCTACACATGGCGGGGGACGAAATGTGGGATTGATGGTTCCCTGCTGCTGCAGCAGCTGTTGGGGTATCCGGGGATTCAATTACAAATCCTCATATGCATCCATGTACTTGTACACGTATATACACGGGATCCCATTTGCTACTTTGCACATTAAAAACTTCCATATGATGTATCGAAATTTATCAAAAGGATTCATATCTTGAGCTGAAGGGTAAAAGAATTTATGGAAGCAAGAAATTTGGAGGAAGGGAGGAATTTAATTTAGCTGTTTGCCTTGATCCAAATGGAATTAGAAGATGAGGGTTGTTCCTGGCATAAAATAAAAATAAAATTTACAGCAATATAAATGGATGAAAAATATGAGGGTTGTTTATTGAATGGATTAAAAAATAGTGTTTTTTCCCTCTCTCTTCCTTAAATTATTTTCTTTGAAATTAAAATGTTTCTCCTCAAAGAAATTTACTATACACATGTCCATTCATGGGATTTTTGTTTTTGTATGTGGAATTTGGCAGAAACTTCTCTTATGGGAGTTCAGGTGAGTAGTCAGAGATTTCTCTTGAGAATTTGTATGCCATTCATATGATTGTAGGGTATATGAAAATACTGTAGTGTTATTGTAGATTCTTTTTGGGAAAAATATCTAATTTGGATGTGATTAAACCCAGAAAGTATAAATCATCATCTTAACTTTCCAGTTTTGTGACATGAAAACCCTGGTCAAACCTGATGATGGAGTTTTCAGAAATATGGGTTCCATTATATTAAATCTCTTATATGTTGCTGGAAGGGTAGATGTCGCTCTCATTGGTGTTTGAATAAGCATTATTATGGCAATAAGGCTAGTCTTGAGTAATGCTTATTGTTGAAGGTCTTGTTGGAATGTTGAACATAAATATAAAATAAAATATTTTTAAACAAAGCCATGAGACAAATGCATTAATAAATGCAATCTGAAGAGTCCACCACAGTGTGCCAATACTGTACTGCTAAAAATTACAGTAATTACTGTACTACTCTTGTGTGGTTAGCAAAAGTTTGTAATAAGAAGTTTTGCTACAATAAGATTTTACTGCTTATAATTACAGAGGAAAATTTTACAATTTCAGCACCAACAGCGACTTTTTCACATTAAAATGGAAATGAAGGGGAACAACAGAATTCAGTCAATAATCACATTATGAAGGAATTAAATTTTCCAGCCACAATCGCATATTTCATATACTTTCAGGCTGTGTATGTGTAAGTGACCATGTAAAAAATCGTAGAATATTTTTTGACTAGGTCACAGATCTGAAAATCGTCTTGAAATACTAAGAAAAAAAGCGTTTTCTTCAATTTGTATTGCTGATTGTAAAAATATGTTGCCATAAGTTCATAAGACATCACTTGGTGAGAAGCACATTTCTGAATTCCGGCCTGAAATTGAAAGAATTCCCTCTACAATGAACAAAGACTATGATTCTTAGTCATTTCTCTGACTCAGAAACTTGGGTGTTCAAAGAAAAGGGTTCAAAAATACTGCACAATTTTTTTCAACCATCCCTCTTTTAATATTCATTCCATTTCTTACTTACCCTCAGACAAAAGTCACAAAACTAAACAAATATGCCACTCTTGAAATCCCATTTAATTTTTTCATGATAATGAGAATAATTAATGGTGAAATTTTGTATCCTTTTTTAAACGTGTTCCCTCTTTCCAATACATGTTTACAGATTTTCTCAAGGACAACCGAGTCGGGAGAGAAATTCCGGAAAAACACAATTCGAAATTCGACTTCGACAAAGAAGAAAACCACGACGTGGATCTGGACCATGACGACCTTCATCATCAAGACAAGGGCGCCAAACGCTGGAAAAACCCGGACATCTCCAAGGTGAATCACAACTGCAAATTTACGCCATGACAAAAAAAAAAAGGGGGGGAGATGCAGAGAGAAAATCGTATCTTTTTTTTATGCATTTCTTTCCTTTACAACATTCTCATTTCCGAGAACCGAGAGTTATTTACGATGAGTCCCCGGGCAAGGCTGAGGCTGCAAATATTTGCGCAAGGAAAGAGCATTTCCACCGACACGCTCTTTCTTTCTTACTTGGACCTCCGAATAAGGAAAACCCTCATTCCAATATAATAATAATAATAATAAAAAGAACCAGTCCTCATTCATCACCCAGAAAGGCCCATAAACCCCCAGGAAGTGACACACACAAAGTGGCAATATATAAAGTCCCTCCGTTATCATCCTTTCACCATTCCGCAGAATCCAAAGCTTGCTGTCTTATTCACAAAAACAAAACCCGAAGTTAAAACAAATGTCGTAATACTGAATAAAAAAAAAGGAGTTGTAAATGTTTTCCCTGTGTGACAGCAACCGAGTTGTGACACCTATGGAATATCAGTAAAAATTTTATTTGTGGATTGCCTCAGAGGGTAAAAGGACCAAAGCCCCCCCTTTTTAATATTCATTGCCCTTTTCTTTGGAAGGGCATCTGATGTTTAAAAAAAGAAGAAGAAAAAAGTCCTTTGTGTGCTATGCTGAGCTCAGAAGAGCCTTTTCTGATGAAATCTCTGCCTTCAAATCCGAGAATTCATTGCTTTTGGCTCAAAGGAGAAGGAAAAGAGGGAAAGAATACATGCTGAAGGACCTTTGATAGGTTGGAGAGGATTTGCTTATCCTGGAATAATTCTGCAGGCGATTTTCTTTATAGTCCAGATTTCTTTTTTTTTAATTCAGTAGTACAGTGATGTCTCAGTTTACAAATGCCCTTGACCCCTGTGTAGTTATGCAATAACCAAGTGCTTTTGAAGAATTTATTCCCACCAAATACAAAATTTCAGCAAGAATATAATTTATTAATCCTACCAAAAATCTGAAAAAATCTCAATTTTCTCTTTAATGCAGGTGGTACCTTGCAATTTGACCCTAATCCTTTGCCAGACTAGGGCCAAATTACAAAGCAGTCAAATTGAGAGACACTTTGTAAAGTTGAGAAATATCAGCACAGAAATGCAAAAAAAGTGGCTAAAGCATGTCAAATTCCAGGGCAGAGGTCAAATTGCAAGTCAACCTCCCTGCAAATTCAACTGTCAAATTGTGAGATGGTCAAATTGCAAATTTCTTTTGAAAAAAATTTATTTTTACAGGGTAGTTTCAAGTTAAAAACGTTCTTGCACGATTGTAATTTATCGTGATTATAAGGTCGACAGTCTTTCTCTAAAGTCTGTTTCTTTCTTTTTTGGAAAAGGAACCCTAACTCTAAGATGAACCTTTTGGAACCAAGATTAATTCCAGATAAATAATGACTGTAAGATGAATAAAACGAGATAATCAGCCAGGCTGCGGCCAGGACCAAAGTCCTAGTATGAGATAATATATTTTCAAATTGACACAAAAAGAGTTGAGAATCTCAATAGATACAAAGAATGCCAAAACAACCGATTGGAAAAGTTTCCGCAAAACAATGCAAATATTCGTCGGACTGTTGCAAGGTCTGAACTGGACTGTGTCTTGGATATTTTTTCTTATTGCTTTTATACTGTTTTTCCGACAAACAGACTATCCATTAATAATAAAGGATATCCTTGGAACACAAGGTTTTTTAGCATGATAAATTTGGAGGACGTCTCTAGACTTTGGGAGGAAGATCGTGGGAACTCAAGGTCATCTCTGGTCCCACAAGATTCCTTTGGGATTATTGGCCTTATGCCAATTCCCATAAATCTTGTATTTCTAAACACCCCTCAACTATATTTTTGACACCAGCAAAGATGACATTGATGAGTCTGACCAAATTCTGAGAAATCTGGGTCTTCTTCCAAGCTAAATGCATGCTTTCAAGTTCATAGATCTGCTCTGAAAGGTATTTGAAAGATTAAACAAATTGATCAAGCTGCAATTCCTTACATATTAGGATAACAGTGAATGAATGGCTCAAACTAGCAGTTGTGCAGAAGAAGGAATCAAGTTTGAGACCTGACTGTTTATTGAACTCTGGCAAAGAAAACTTGTGTGATTTGTAATTCTGCTCACATGTTCAATTCTGCATCCATCTATAAAAGAGGTACACTGGCAAATCATCAGTCGAATATTGCAACAAGTGACAACACCATCATCCAATTCCCAGGCGGGCTCACATCCAGAAAATTAGGTCTTTTTTAGAAGGATATCCCTGCATCTGCATCATTTTCCCAGGCAGTGAATAGGAACTGGTCTCCAGTATATTGGAAATCTATGGGCTCCATAATCCCTTTGATCCCTTCAACATCTCTTACTTTATATCTGGCCTTTCAAAGGCATCTCTGGGGTAGAAAAGTGAGGCTGGAGCCTCCATGCTTTCTTCTTAGAATATAATATTTTCTTTGAATGGTTACAGAGATGAAAATGGTATTCTTTCTTTCTTCAACAGGCTGCCCACAAAAGGTACAGGCTATTGAGGAAGACCATGATGTCTGAGGTTCTGAGGGAGCTGAACTCCAAGGACTGGACATTACTCAAGAAGAAAAATGGTGACCAGGTTCAAATACTCAAGGATGGCCTGACAGGACAAGTTTATCTCATGACTGTGAGTGCTATTTTTTTTTATCCAATTCAAAACCAGGATACTTATAAAATGTTAAGAGCCCTTGAAATATGTCACTTGTGCATTGGCAACACTGCTTGAAAAATTAAAAGCATCATTAGGCTTATAATTGGCATTATGATGAGTACTGAAAATTGATGAGCCATACTTTTGTAGTGTATTCAGTGACTATGTTTCCATTATTTAGGGTCGCACTTATTTAAAGCTTTCAAATGAGGATAGAGCATATTAGATCAATTAGAATCATGAAAAATTAATCTCTTGTAGAAAGGGTACATTATAACATTTTGACACCTTTTTCAGTTATTTTCATCCCACTGTATATAAATTGGGTCTATTTTGAAGCACGCAATATGACTCATGCCCTTGTTTAATATGCTAGCAAACAATTTACCAGCATTTAAAGTGGTAAAATGCACTCACACAGAATGAATAAAGTTTCCAAGTATATACCAGGAACTCCCAACTACTCAACAGTGTAATTATCTTCTCTTATCTTTCACATTATAAAACTTTCATAGGTAATTGATGAACAAGAACATTTTTCAATTGATCCCTCACATTTTGCAATTGATCCCTCACATTTTGCAATTGATCCCTCACATTTTGCAATTGATCCCTCACATTTTGCAATTGATCCCTCAAATTTTTCAATTGATCCCTCACATTTTTCAATTGATCCCTCACATTTTTCAATTGATCCCTCACATTTTTCAATTGATCCCTCACATTTTTCAATTGATCCCTCACATTTTTCAATTGATCCCTCACATTTTTCAATTGATCCCTCACATTTTGTTTGCCAGTTGAAATGTTTGATGCCCCTCCAATTTCCCTCAAAGGAAATCCCTTGGGCCTCATCAGGCCCTGATCCAATCTGCTCCACAAAAGCAGGGAACTTTGCCTATGCAAAAATATCCCTGATGAAAATGCGAAGGCAAACGGGGTGGAAGAGACGGGGGTGCTTGTGCTTTAGAACTTACATTACTCGTCGGAGTAGTCCCACTTGACTCGATTTTTAGAATTAGGAACGGAGTAGGAATTTTAGTCTCGTGTCTCTTCTAATTAATGTGACCTTGTGAAAACTCTCCTCCCCCGTCAAGTACCAATCGCTTGGAAGCTTCATTGATTTTTTTAGTGAGTGCACTGACCCCTTTAGAATTCTGGTGAATTGTTTTCTAGATTTGTACATAAGGCATGCCACATGATTTGAAAAAGAACGTGCTGGTGATATTCATGGAATTTGTGATGGATGTTATTCTCAGAAGGGTTTAATGTCTTGATTTTCATTTCAAATTTTTTTAAAGCTTAAATTCAGCTTTTAAAGGCTCAAAACAATGAATGAAAACACTGAGATTCGTCAGTGTAGAAATCCAATGTTTATATCAAATATTGAATAATATTCAGCATCTAAATTAATTCATGACCCCAAGTTTGAGCTGGGCCCAAATCCTCAGAATTTGGAATGTTGAATGAACACAATATAAATGGCTCATTAATATTTTAGATAGTCTTCAACACTTGATTGAAGCGTTTAGTTTGAAAAAAATTGGCAATTATAATAACCAGGTTAAGTGAGCAGAATAATACATTGATGTCAAAATTGTCTCGAATTTCATTTAACAGTGATTCCGTCTGAATTCACCTTTTACAGGCTTTTAGCAATATATGAAAATTACTACAGCATTCACATTCCTAAGTTGAAAAGGCCAATTTCTGAATTCCAATTCCATTGTAGCAAATTTATTTTTAGAAACATGTGATTTTCCTGATGAAAAAAGACATGAAAAGGCCAGCAGCACAATACGATCTTGAATATATGCAGGTTAATTTGAACCAATGTTCCCTATCAATGAAATCTGTTTTAACAATTCTGGAAAATATTTTTAAAATCTTTTCCTAACAAATTATACAAGTATGTACAGATGGTACCTTGCAATTTGACCCTAATCCTTTGCCAGACTAGGTTCAAATTGCAAAGTGGTCAAATTGTGAGACACTTCATAAAATTGAGGAATAGCAGCACATTGATTTAAAAAAATTGGCAAAAGTAGGTCACGTTCTGGGGCAGAGGTCAAATTGCAAGTCAACCTCCCTGCAAATTCAACCATTGGATTGGAGGATGGTCAAATTGTGGGAGGTCAAATTGTATGATACCACCTGTAATAAAAACCTTTTTCAGAAGTTGTTTCAATGTATGTTGTAACAAGATTTTACCGTATGCATCATTTTTGAAAATAAGAAAAATGGCTCTTGAAGTTTTGATATTCTTCACCAACTTTAACCAACTACTTAGCTTGAAAGTAATGGTGGCAGTTATGTACCCATGGCAGGTGAGCAGAATAATTTGTTTGTGTCAGAACTGGAGCAGTTATATACTCAGCTGTGATATTTTTGGAGTACAATAACTTCATTTAATCTCAAGGGAGTGTATCTCCTAGACATGAAGCATCCAATTTCACAGTGAAAAGCACTATACTCTACATGAATTGTTCATGCTTGCAGGGCATTGTGGATCTGGATCCAGAAACCTTGTTCCATGGACTGGTGGATGAACCTCTCTCAATCACAGAATGGAACCCAGCCATCAAACAAATTGAGATCTTGCAGGTAAACAACTCTACTTTTCAAGGCAACTGCTGCGTTTCTGAGACATGTTTTCTCTTCCACATGTCAGACTTCCATTCTCATTTACCTTGTGTTTGTTATTTTATGACATGGCTCCTGGCATATATGAGCCTTGGGTGTGTAATTGATTGAAACATTGAAAATTAATCATTAAAAAAAATCAGTCTGTTCCAGGCACTTACAAAATCAGTGATTATAGAACTTTAAAACATGTGCATTCCTGTGAATTACTTCATTTTGTCTTAGAATTGGACTTATCCAGGCAAATCAAGCTAGCTCTCAAAATTCTGAAGCTCAAACATTTCAAGGGCCAAAATAACTTAACATTATAATTTTCTCTTTTCAATGCTTGTCTTGCACTTAGCAGAAATCTTTGAAATCTCAAGGTTCAAAATAATGTAATAAAATTCCTGCAATTTTGGCCATAAAATTCGATCATGTGAATCAAGTTTGGCATTTGAGCCAAGATTTATCAATATAAGAAATAGTGTTGAGCAAAACATTCTCAGTAATTCGAATCTCTTGTTATATTTGGGCTGATTAAAGTATGCAATAAATCTTGTAACTATAAATGTGAATGTCGACCAGCTTATTGGTTTTAAATAGCTTATTGCAAAATTACAGCATAATTTATGTCAACGCACAAAAAAAGTCAATTCAAAGCCATTTTGAGGAATAAAATGCATGTTTAAATGAGGAAAAACATTGAAAACGAAATTTTTTCATGCTTTGAGTTGGAAATGTGTAATTGTTTTTCTGTTTTTGTGAAAGCATTCAAAAAGTATATTGTTTATAAGACTTGAAATATTCCTTTTTTTTCACCTTGCAGCACATCAACAACAGGACTATGGTATTCCATCAAGTCCTGAATCAAAACTCCGGAGGCCTTTTCAAAGAGCGTGACTTTGTCAACTTGATCTTCTGGAGAAAGTCCAAGGGGATATTCTATCAATTCTACGAATCCGTCGAATTTCCAGACTTTCCAGAAACTACGTCCTTTGTCAGGTGAGATACAGAATGGGATGGACGACGTGGAAATGTCAGAATATAAGCGCAGGATTCCCTCAGGCAAATGCGGTTTTAATTGGTTAGGACATGGTGGAGTGGATCTATTCTTGGAACTTTCGGGAATTGTCTCATTTCCAGCCCAGATAGTTTATACTAGTATGCTTTTGATTATTTCGTGCTTTTCTCTCTTGATAATAACCCGGAAGAAATTAATGTAAAACAAAATGCATAACTTTTCACTCTCCCAACTTTTAGGAGAATTAATGCATTTAATATGTGAAACGATATAATATTTGAGCCTATCAGAAGTACTCAGAAAAATGAGACGAGGTGAAATAATTGAAATCATATCTAGAATTTCCTTTGCATTCATTGATTATTTCGCCTTATCAATGTGGAAAACATATAATATTTCTTATAATATATTTTCAGTGACACATAATTCCATAAATAATTACGCAACTACTGTAATTTCAAACATATTTAAAAAAATCTTATTGCTCTATCACTTCATTGAACAATTGCAATTTCTTTCATTCAGTATATTCGAGGTATGAGCATCGAAGTTCTATGGTTGAAAAGTCTATTACAGTATTTCATGTTTAAAATTAATAGAGCAGACAGTTGACCACCAAGAGCTGCCAAAATGTTATGAAAAGCTGAGTTTGTATAAGAAATGAAACAATGCGAAATGTTTCAGAAAACGTCCCAAAGAAATAAAATGTTGCTTAATTAAGGTTTTATAAGCAGCGTTTTATTTTTCTATTCAGTGCGTGTCAGAGTCAGTGAGAAATAGTTTCATTGCCGCAGTGAAATTTGTGAAGTGTCGGTTGTAATGATCAGAAATCAAGTTTTTGCAGTTGTAAATGGCTGTAAAAAAATTAAAATTAAATTTCAAATATGACACTCATTGACTCAGACTCAGTCAGTATGCGACATATATTTCTGGTAATTATCTCATCAGTAAAATAAAATATTTGCGCATTTATTAAAACAAATACAAAAGAAACTCGTCAATTTTCAAGGTCCAAATAAGACAGAACCTTTTTTTTCTCTTCTTCTTTTTCAAAAACAAATATTTTTATTTTCGAAATTCGTCAACAGAGCCGACAATGGCCCAAGTGGGTTCATCCTGTCCCCGCACCACAACCCGGCAACCAACCAAGTGCAGACCAAGTACCAGTGGCTCATGGACGTGGACTTCAAGTTCCAGTGGATGTTCCAGCGCCTGCTCAAGGGCGTCATCCCGGGGGTCATGCTCGAGTACCTGGACAATGTGCGTGCCAAAGCAGAGTCCCTCAAAAAGGAAGCCCATCATCTGCAGCAGGCAGCACAAACAACAGGGAACGTGACTCATCGCCACGGAAGATCCGCGTAATCCCTTTTTATCCAACCCTACCCCCCCCCCCCCGCCCCACTTTATTGGAATGAGACACAAATAGACGGAAATAACTAAAGAAATAAATAAAATAACGAGTATATGTAAATTATATATACTGTATTTACTGGAGTACCACCCCACCTTTTTTCTCAAATTTCAGAAGAAAAAACAGAGTGCACATCATAAGCTGGTACAAATTTTTCAAGAAGTTCTAGGAAGTTATGTGTGCATTATACTTAATTATAATGGAGAAATTTGGAACAAATGTACCAAGAAAACTTGTTTATACTGAAAAAGTTGAAAATTGATCAGATTTTTATTCAATTCATGACTAAAGTCAAATTTTTGTTGTTATTTTTGAAATTTTGTGGATTTAGATTCACTAAAAATTGGGGTGCGCATCTTACTTGGGGATAAGGTTTTAGCAAAATTATCAACTGAAAAACCCCTGTGCGTGCCTTACTCAAGGAGTCAAGGGTGTATGGTACTCAAGTAAACACAGTATAAATGAATATACATATATATATATATATATACAGGTGAACCTCAATAACTCAAACCTCCCCAAGTTGAATACCCCACTAAGTCAAAATTTTTACCGGTCCCCATCTGAATCCCCTTAGAAACAATAATTTAAAATCCTCCTCAAGTCAAAAGCCTTTCCCCTCAAACATCCATAAGTTACATTTTTGTTGGCCTGTTGGCCATTATTTTCTTGACGCAAGAAAGAAAAAAAAAATCAATAAAAAAAGAATTTCATGTGTTTTAAAGGAAGTGAAAGAGTTAATTGGGCAAATGAACCCCTTATGCCTCCAAGTTCTGCAGCCTTTCAACTCATTTCAAAAGTAATTTAAGCCCCATCAGAATATCACCATGCACATTTTTTTTAAGTTTCCCTGAAAAAAAGGGCTTTGTATTGCAGTTCAAACTTATATAATTTATAACCTCTCAAGTAAAAACCCCCCAAAGTTGAATTTTTTTTGCAGGTCCCTTGAAATTTGAATAAGAGACTTTTGAGTATATAATATAGTATATATATGTAGCTGAGGAGAGGAAATAATAAGCTTCCGTTTCCGGGGTGTTGATGATCTAAATACCCCCCTTTTCCGGTGTGCACTCAGAAGGAAAAGCCTGGGAGGAAGTCCTCTTGCTCATCAAGGGGAATTCTGACACCCATTCCATCCCAGAATCATTTCCTCTTATTTTCTGTTGTTGCTGTTTTTAGGCAAGTGGGGTTTAACAAATTTTCTTGGATTAGAAACTAAACTGGCATATGACAGAGCTGAAAAAGAATAATTATGGTTCAGTAACAACCTTCTTTGGCAAAAGAAAAAAATTCAGCACTCTTCATTTTTTTTAATTCACCCCGGCCGTTTTCTATTCTTCTCTATAGATGAGGCGCCTAGTTTGCAGGTTTTGTGATGTGTTCCCTTCAGAATTCTTGAAATTGGCATGGTATTAATTCCATGAGTTGCCACCATTAATTGATTATTAATTCCGATATTCTGATCATCAGTCGCCTTCATTGCTGCCACTTATTGGGATGAGATTGCAGTGGCTGTGAAGGCAGCTTTTAACCATTTTAATGGGTGATGTTACTGGGATTTATTCACAAAATTTTCTGCCACTTGTAAAAGAAAAAAAGGAACTGCCTAGCATGACCCCACAAGCATAAGTCAGTAAAAATGATGAATTTTTTCTTCATTCTTGCAGAAAAAAAATTAAGAAATAATCATTTATTGCCTGGTGGAATTTTTTCTGCATTCCTGCCATAAGATTAGCATCAAGGAATTTTGAAGACAATGGTTCTTGCTTTCAAGGATTTTTCCCAATACTTAGCCAAAGCTACGTTTCATTGACCTTTGGTCAAACCGAAATGCACAAGCATGCAAAAATTTTCTGGCACTGCAGTGCAATGGAAATTGACCTGCCACATTCCAAGGGTTAATGAAAATGGTATAATTATATTAAAGACCTTGAGGCAACCCTGGGGGCTGCCAAAGAAACTTATGAAAAATACATGAAAAAAAGTTATCAAACAGGGCTGAAATTTTTTCTTGTGCCAAAAATGTGAACAAATGTCATTTTAGTTCAATCATATGCCATATCAATTTCTATCCCAATAACTTTGGTTAGACCCCTCGCATACGAAGTAGCACCTGGCCCACAAAGAAAAAACTGGAATACTGTACATCAAGGAATTATAAGGATACTGGATGACCCTGGAAATTGTCATGAGAATGAAATCATCATAAAGAATTTACTTATTTTTCTGCAAGCTCTCCGATTATTTTTTTTATTTTGAACTTTTTCTGACCTAATCATAGAACAGATGCAAGAAAATCACAAAACCCAATTAATTCCCCATTCAAGAAAATCCCTCCACTCAGACCATGTTGTTGTTTCGCTGTTTATGTCATTCTTTATTTTTATTTTTTTTCTAATTTTCAAACAGATGCCGGTGTTTGTCTAATCGATGAAGAGAACAGGTGGTGCTTTTTTCCTATTTTTACAGAAATGAGAAGAAAAGAAGGAATATGTCTCTTTTTTTTTCTTCTTAAAAGTGAGGTGTGATCTCAGAGGAATGTTTTGCTTTTAAGAGTCGACTTGAGTGTTTGTGTCCTGGTCGGTTGGTTGTGGGACAGAATTTCACATGATGATTTTTCGTTCTGGAATGACTGAGGAATGACTGAACAAATGAATGGCTACTGATTTTTTGCGATATATACAGTACGTGTATGAATTATTTCACTCACTATATACGTGGCTCTAATTAGCATAATTCTATGTGGTTTTGTTCTGCACAGTTGTTTTCTACAACTTGAAGTTGAGGGAAACAATTTTCATGACACTTTCTGGGAATATATTTCTAATTTAAAAAAGGAGAATCAATTAAATACATTAGCATTTAAGTCTAAATTAAAATGAGACTCAAATTAGGGACATTCCAACATCAGGACACTTTTAATGCACCAATTGCATCTGCATCTGGGGGTCTCACTGTATACTGAACAAAAGGGTTGTTTCAACTTTTAAAATGAAAAAAAATAAAACTAGACTCAAATTAGGGACATTCCAACATCAGGACACTTTTAATGCACCAATTGCATCTGCATCTGGGGGTCTCACTGTATACTGAACAAAAGGGTTGTTTCAACTTTTAAAATGAAAAAAAAACTATGCTAAGTATATCCCAACCTCCCGCAAATGACCATTTTTGGAGGGTACCATAATAAAGATATTCGTTCATGCGCTTCTAAACTATTCTTGAAAGAAAAATAGATCCACGGAAATGGAACCCCACCATCTGCTGCTCGATTGTCAGCACCAGCATGGAGGGATGCCAGAATTTTTCTGCGTCAGTCCAAATGACCACCCCCCAAGTGGCCAGGAGAGAATAACAAATCAGCGCCACGCCCAACTTGTCACCATTCAACTGACCGCCATGCCCAAATGAGCGCCACAGGAAATTGTTCCCAAAAAAGCGGCGCAGAAGAAACCCAAACAAAGGACAGTGAGACTCAAAAATGCAGACATAATTGGTGCTTGAACATTGTTCCTATGTTGGACCACATGTCAAACCTTGTTTTCACATAGACTTCAATGTGAATTCATTTGATTGGTTCTCTAATTCACGGAAAACTAGGAAAAAATCCCCCAATCAAATAAAATGTGTTTCTCAACTTGAAGATACAGAGTATAACTAGGCAAAATAAAGAAACTCTCACCTCTTTCATGAAAAGGACTCAAAAATACAAAAAAAAACCATAAGCCTTGCTACCCTGTTCACAGATGATAGAGAATGCTAAAAAAAAGCAAAATTAACCTGTTTTTGATTATGAATTCAAGTAAATATATAATGCTATTCATTTTTAACTTCTGTGAATACAAATAGCTGAATTTACTCAAGAGATATCCAAATTTTGATAAATTAAAGTTTTTCAATTTTCTAGGAATGCTGAAAAAGTGTCCATATGTAAAAATACTGTCCCAAACTCCCAATGTTGGGCCTGATTTTTTGAATTTTCATGTGTCCCCATCTCCCCAAGTTAAATTGCCCATAAATATACTGTATATATACAGTGAGACCCCCACATGCGGACGCCTCAACATGCGGACGCCTCAACATGGGGACATTTATTTTTAAACAAAAAAATCATAAAAAGACCTGACATGAGGACACTGACTCAACCTGGGGACATTGCAGGATAAAATTTAAAAAAAATTTGGAAAATCGATTTTTATAAGGCGCAATTGCAAGAAACAGATGTTTCCAACCTAAGATCTATGCAAGAAAAATTCTTTGGTACTTTTCCCATCATATTCCCATCCATTCAGCTAATTTAAAAAATGCCCTATAGCACAGAGGGACTTCCTTCTAGCTCTCTTTGTGACATGGATGTTATTTTTCCAGATGCCATCTTTTCAATTTACTGTACAGAGGTACACTGTTCAATGTTCCAGATGTTCTTATTGGTTTGAAAAGATATTCATTGAATGAAATTCAAGTGGCAAACATTTTTTTCATGAAATCCTGAAGAATATTTCTCCCATAAAACACCAATTAAAAATTATACAATGTAAGTCTATGGGAAAACAAGATTCGACTTGGGGACAATCCAAAATAGGGACACTCTTTATGCACCAATTATGTCCGCATCTGGGGGTCTCACTGTATATACAATGGAAGGTTAGCTAGTTGAGATTTTAGATGGAATGTTGCAAGTTTATTTATCCAGATACTGAATAAAAAATAAATAAATATATAAATATAAAAAAATATATATCTCAAGGCAATTGAAAACTCAAAATATTCTTTTGTAGAACAAATACAGTACTCATTCTCGTGTACAAAAATTTGTTTTCTCTATATGCTGGCGCCCAGTTTGATGGCGACGAGTTGGATTTTTGCGCCCAGTTTGTCCAAGAAGCCATTTTCCTCTGTATTATCACCTCGCCTCACACCAATAGAACCCGGGCAGCAATCGGACACAACAATATATATCCCTGGGGGAAAAGCACGGGAAAGACAATCTATTTAACGCAGAAGCCAATAACACCCTTGGGCGATTTCTTGCTCCCTGGTTTTCTTCCTTTCCTCTTGGTTTCCTTTCCTCTTTGGCAAAAAAAAAAAATCCGGAAAACCTAATGAGCAGCAGCCCTGCAGGCTCATGTACAGCAGTGGTGCCTGGAACAACGAACATCCAATTCAACAACTTGAAAAAGGCCTGTTGAACATGTCATGGATAGAATCCACTGCTGATGAGAAAAAAAGGCATTGAAGGTTTTTTCATCCTCTCAATTTTTGTTTAATAAGAAAGTAGTCTTCACACAGCCTTCATCCTTCAAAGATTCATCAATCTAATTTTATTCCTTCTTCATCTTTACATATTTTATACAGTATCTGTGTTCAGCTTCAGAATTGTGCACAAATTCATTTTTTTCACTTGAGTAGTGTTTCCAGGGCTCCTTGTGAAAGATTTTGTTTCTTTGTCATCAGATTGCACAATAAATAGTTCTGAAAAAGTGGGAAAATATATTCAAGGTGTCACCTTGAACACATGTTCTTGGCTGCAAAAAGGCCAATTGTGCATGGTTCATTTGCTACACTGTGCTTTTATCATCCATTCTTCTGTTGGGTTCCATTAATGCCAACAGAACACATGCAGGCAACATTTTGTTGAAGATATATGACTTAAAGAAAGAGAACATCTCAAGGGTCCTATATACCAGAAACAGCTTATGGACAAAACTCAAAAATTTGTCTGGAACAATTTTCAAGATTCATTGCAACAAACTGATCTGATTTTTCCTTTTTAAAACCAATTTTCTGAAAAATAATCACAATTCAACCATTTTCTTACAATTAAAGAGCAACTTTGAAAGCAATAAGCAGTGCTTGGATTGATTTTCAAAACTGTCAAAAATGATGCATGCAAAAATTCCAAGAATTAGCAGAAACTCATACTTGAATGTGACATGCAACCCATGAAGCCCGATTTTTGAGGAAAACTGTGCTCATGGCACTTGATTTAATTAAAATATTGTTCAAACAGAATCCGAAATTAAATCTATTAGTAAGGTTCATATTTTCTGTATAAAATCTTCACGAGAAGCTGTATTTCAAACATCTGCTGTCCCAGAATACAAACTAATTTTATAGAAAAAATAAAAGAACCCTTTATTGTTCGAGGCACCAGCACACCAAAACAACAATACGGAACAAACAAAAGACGGTTACTGCTATTGTATTCATGCATTGTTCATTTGCTGCCATGGAAATTGCATTAGATGCAGCGGGAGGAAATGATTGTTGCATTTTTGGGCATCCCGAAATGAGGAATTACACCAGGGAAATCTTTTCCATGGTGTATATCCACACTATGTATATATCATGTGCCACACATGTCTTCTATGATTGCAGATCATTATGCGCAGTTGAGGACTTTTCTACAAATCCGCAGAAAATCTCTCTCACCTGCAAACAATAATCTTAGTTTCGCTCCTTTGTGATGAAAGCAACATTAGACTAGACTACAGAACTCTAAGAAGGAGAATTTAATCTTTGAACGAAGTTTAGCATAAATGCTTATAATTTTATGCAATAGAAAAGTGTGAGATGAAATGACAGAAAATTTTCAAGATGCCATGGCCCATAACTTATAAATCTTAATGCACCATGCCTATAGTAGGTTCCAAAATATGCAACAGAACTAACCCATTGCTGTGCAAGTATTGTTATTGGATTTGCTATTTTTGCAATCTTAATAGAAAAAACAACCTGAATTCTGGTCCCATTTTCCTTCAGGCATCCATTCCCCAAATGCACATGCACATTGTGTCCACGAATCACAGGCAAGGGAAAAGTCAAATGCTTTGGTCAGGTCAGCTGACAGAAGCATTGCGCTAAATCCTTTAAAAACCCAGCACTCTTCCACTCCGAATAATCAGTCCTTAAAATTAGCTTCAACAGTAAACATTCTCCAAGTATTTCAACCCCAATTCTTCTGATTGAATTGTTGCATTGGATTATTGCACCCTAAATTTGTGTGCACAAATTTATTGTCTTCATTGAATGTGTGTTGCATTATTGCATTTATTATGATGCATTTTTTTTATTGTGTTTGATTGTGGACTCTGATTTAGCCATACAAAAGTAGGGATATGTAATTAAGGTACCCCCTTAATTACATATTCCCGGCTGATTGCCCTGCCTTATTTTTTCCCACTTTTTCTTCCACTGCGCTATGGTTCAATTCTTTATGTTGGGTTGATTAATTCCTCAACATTGCGCAAGTCTTTCTTCCTCTCAATGGAATTCCATAAATGCAGATTTTTTTTTTACACACGCAATTCATTATGAAAAGACCTATTACTGTACATGTATTATATTTGTCGTTTTTTCGCCGAAGTTCAATAGATTTATCCTTTCCCAGATTTCTTGGCAGTAATTTTATCTGTAGAAAGAACACTGCAAAATTTTAGTATTCTTCATATTCTGTCTGTTGATAGGATGATTAAAAAGTGAGCCTAGTTCAGTTTCTAATCCATAAACATTATTTATTTTCAAATTTAGAGTTTATGGTCTGTGATACGCATGTACGTGTCATTGTGAACAAGTAAGTGAACCAAAACCTCTGCATCAGAAAGTCAAGTTTGTAACCGGAGGCAACACTGTCAGCCCATCAAGAAACACACAGGATTTCGGGGTCAACATGGAACTTCAATGGCCATCTGAACTGGAACAAAAATTGAGGGCGCTACAGTCGACGAATATTTAGTGAGATTCCCGGGAAAAAAAAAATAACCAGAAGAGAAAACAAAAACCAATTCGGTGGTCAGCACAAAAAAAAAGAAAAGAAAAAAAAACACTCCTGCTTCAAGCTTTCAAGCACCATAAAACAATCGGCTCATTTCCACTGGAAAACAAGCCAGAAAAAACTTTTTATAAAAAGCTTCCTCCCATCTTCCCTATCACAAACAGAAGACAACATTTGCTCGAATGGTAAAAAAAAAAAAAAAAAAACAATCCGACATCTCCCACCATCATGATTCAAAGCTTGAGTTTAGTCTTTACTCGGTTCACGCATCTGTCCATGAAATTCTCCTTTTTCTTCTTCTTAATATTTTTGTTGTTCTTCTTGAACTCTGAAGGAAGCGTCGCTGAAGGCGCCTGCTGATGTAGGCCCCCAAGGACGACCTTTTTCTTCTCCAGCTCGACGTCCATGATGAGTTTCAACGGCGACGGCAGCTCATCGCTCGCAACGGCGACGGATTTCATTTCCGTCATCGTCGGTTCTTCGAGTCCAGTGTCGAGACTTTTCGCCCTCAACCGCCTCTGCTCTTCTTCAAAGTTTTCTTCTTCTTCTTCTTCGGTGTCGACTGTCGGTAATTTATCTTGGTTATCATCGTCGAGGCCAGTGTCAAGACTTTTCGACCTCAATCGCGTCATTTTCTCCTCTTCTTCGTCTTCTTCTTCACGTTCTTCGTCATCAAGAACAACTGTGACAGCGTCGTCGTCGTCGTCATTGTTGTCGAGCCCCGTGTCGAGACTTCTCGACCGGAAGGACTCGACACGCGGGATGACGAGCACGCGGGGAATAGGCGCCACAATTTGCGGTCTGGGGCGCCGCGGGATTAACGGACTGAACGCACGGGGATTCAAAGGCGGCTTCCCTGCCGCGGTCAGGAGCGAAGTGGTGGACGATGAGTGATGGTGTCCACGTGGCGAATACTGGAGTGGTGCTGTCGGTGGTTGACTGCGACCCCAGCATGGTTGGTACTGCTGGTGGTTCTGTTGGAACCGGGATCCCAGAGGACTCGGGCTCTCGGACCTGCCTCGCAATCCGCCATTGCCTACCCTGGAAAAAAGAGTAAATAATTATTTATTTATTTGATTGCGCACAAAAAAAAAACGTATGTCCCAAAATGAGGTGATGTTATCCCAAGAAATTTGAGGGGGAATTGCAGGACAAGCAGGAGTACATGCGGTTGCAAAAAATGTTAGATAAATGGCACATCACTTTTTTTGGAGTTAGTGTGTTAGTGATGTCAATCTTCATTTACTGCTTTTGTCAGTATTGAGAAGAGTTTCTCAACATTTCCCCACATCCCCCATAAGACACACGCTGACCCATAAAAAAGAAAACACTACTAGTTATTCACGAAAAATACATTACAGAATATGAAAATTATCATTAATAAAAAAAAAATGATCCATTCTCATGAACACAGCACAACAACAACAACAACACCGGACAGGGCAATTATACTAAGCACAAATTGAAACACGAAGTCTTTCAAGTTTGAGCATGTTCCCAGATTTTTTAAAACTGATGAAAAAAATTAGGAAAGAAAGTTTTAGGAGAATTACGTAAAAACAAATGCAATCATCCTAAAGATGGGGAGTAGATTTCCTTCAATATTTCTATATACAGTATTTGTCCAGGCACAAACATTAGTATCCTGTACTCAGTAGTTTTCAACACAACGGCATCTCACAGCTTTACAGAGCAAAAATTATTATAGACTGATTTAATTTTTTTAACCCTTGGAAATTAAATTCTGATTTAAAACGTCACAATGAACAAATTAGGAAAGAGCTTTAATTAATAAAGAACTTTCTCACTTGAAAACTCCCGCCTTCCTGGAACCTTTATAACTCATATTTTTAAATGCCTTTAGGTTATCAATGAAGGGTTCCAGGAAAAAACAAAACAAATAAAACTGCAACTTGATGCTTTTTAAAAGGAAGTGAGTTACTGGGCAAATTTAACCTTGGGGTCCAGCAGTCGAATCATTTATCCAGCAATTCAAGGCCCAAAAGATCATCCATCTCTCTGCAACAAAGTGGTCTACAACGTATTTCACTGTATAACGAATTTATTTTCGGTCCCATTGGGTTCTCTCTCCAGGTTACAGGAATTCTTGTCTACAAAGATTTTTTAATGGTGGAGAGTCCACCTGTATTACTTTTCTCAATTTTTCCCCCAAGTAAAAAAAAAAAAAAAAACTGGTTTCCCTAACTCAAAAACTCCTCAAGTTTAATTTTTTCCTGGGACCTTCTGAGTTCAACTGTGATTAAATCAAATGGCACGACATTTATTGCATACAGTAAATGCATGACTCATGTTTAGGAAGACTCACTTCGCTTTGACCGGGGCAGGTTTACACCGTCAATCGGCCAGAGCCTTATTCGTCGCGTTCTTGTTAGCTCCAGAGGGATTATTTTCGTCAGAACAAGAACTGCCTTTCCCGCTCTCATTACTCTGTGTCCTGTGGTACCCCGGGATAACGACTCTGGCAGGCAGGCAATTCTGCACCACACCTGACGCAGAAAAAGGGATCACCATTCCAATTACGCGCACAACATCTCCCAACGCATGGCTTTAATTGAAACGTGAAAAAGTGTTACACAAAAAGAAAAAGAAAGGCATCACCATGAGGAATTACAGTCATGGACCATCTCTTACATATACGAACACCCACAGAAAATTATAAAAGGTTTCCAACGATTTTATCATTCGAGAACATTTGGTTTTCAGAATATCGTATTCACTCGAGTATCACGGGCTCTTGAGCAAGACACGCATTATAATTTTTCTCCTCAACATTTTGATGAAATCCCATCCCCGAGTAAGACACACAGCCCATTTTTAGCAACTGAAAAACTACAATATGAAAAAAATTAAGACACCAGAATTCAAATTTGAACACAAATTCAATTAATTTTCAATCGTTTCGAATTAAAAAAAACTTCCCATTAAAATTCAAGCATGATGCTCATATAAACCTTTAAAAATTTTTGAAAACATTTTCCCTCTTCATAACGCGCTCCTCATCCTTTTTTTCCCCTCTCAATTTTGAGAGAAAAAAAATGTGCGCATCATACTCGAGTGAATACGGTAAAATTGGCGGTTGCCGAGGGTGCCGGCGCCTCGAAGGGGTTAGACCACATAATAACGAATAAACGCGAACCTGGCAGCAGGGACGACATGGAGCCGGCAGTAGACGGCGTCCCAGGAGTGATGTTGCCGTCGCGCGGCGCCAGTCCGGCACGACCGCCGTTCACCGAGGAATCGGCGGACATGAACCGCACCAACTTGTCCACGCAGGCGTCCTGATAATCGTGGATCCAACGGACGCCGTTGAAGTAGCACACGGCTCGCATGTCTTCCGGCAACGACTCCGTTTCCGGCCACTGGAAATTGTCGATGATCGGGATGATGTTGCACCGGTTCTCCAAAGCACACACGATTTCCTGTTTCCGAGAAGACGAGGGAGAAACAAAAAAGATGCAAGGAAACTTTAGTAACTGCAGTAGGTAAGATTCTTATTTTCTCGTCCACCCAGTCTAGTAAAAACTGTATTACATTTACAAATCCTACAAATCCGCACCCAGTCCTGGTCACATTAACTCTTGCATTCCCATTACGTTTTTGAATCATCGAAAACGTTTTAAATAAAAAAGTATGAATGAAAAGCACATTTTATAAAACGAAAAAAAAAAAAAAAAATTCCGATTCAAATTTTCATCCCTTTGATTCAAAGTTGCTTTTCTTGTAAAATTCAATTACAACGAATCGTCATTCAGAATTTTGATTGCACCGAATTTTTCAAAGGCCCCATCAGATTTTTTTTAATAGGAACAAAGTTATAACATATTTTTAACAAATTAATTTTTACTTATAGTTTAAAAAATCCTTTCAACTAATTGGCAGAAAATGGAAACATCTAACTTCTACAGCCATTTAAAAAATAAATGCTAAGCTTTTTCAACAGAAAAATCATGCAGGAGTATGAAATTATGAGAAGTCCTGCTTTTTTCATTGAAGCAAGTTTTTTTTTCACAGGTCCCTATTTGATTTAGTTGAAACGAGATTTTAACGTGCGGTATATACCAATAAACAGTACGTAATACTGTATTGAACAAATGGTTCCATTCTTTTTTTTTTCTTGGGCTCAGGTGTTCTTTTCGAGAAATGAAACATAAATTGATCGTCTCCAGCAATTCGTGATGGAGTCAGCTAACCTTGTGAACCCAGTCCTTGCATTCCACATCATTGATGCATCGATCCAAAGCACTCGGGGTGAGCACCAGGAAAAAGTGCTTCGCCTGCTTAATGCTCTGCAACAAATTGTTATCAAACTTGCCAGCTTCCAGACGCTCCACGTCTAGAAACGCGGAGAATCTTCTCACTTGCATGTGGACCTTNACATCATTGATGCATCGATCCAAAGCACTCGGGGTGAGCACCAGGAAAAAGTGCTTCGCCTGCTTAATGCTCTGCAACAAATTGTTATCAAACTTGCCAGCTTCCAGACGCTCCACGTCTAGAAACGCGGAGAATCTTCTCACTTGCATGTGGACCTTCAGCAAACTGAAATAAATAAAAAAAATTCGTAAAGATTTGTTTCAAATGAATTCTTTTGCAAAAAAAATGAAAACAAACCTTGCGAGTTGGGATCCGTTTGATCTTCGGTAGCTGATGAAGACGTCGAGGTTCTTGTCCAAACTCTCCTCGGACGTCGATATCAAGTTACATTCGTCTGTAAATTGAACATGGGATAATTTAATAAAAAGTCAAAACACAGATTACTTTCATATACTGTATCATCATCATTTCAAATATTAGTGCCTAATATTGACGAGCTTTAAAATCGTTCAGCTTACTTTTCTTCGCGAATGCCTCGGAAAGAATACTCGAATACTGCGCCAAAATTGTAAAACAAAATTACAATCCTATACTGTATAGACACACAAAAAAAACGGACACAGATGGACAATCATTAGCAAGAGAAATTGCAGACGTATTAACTATCAGAACTCCAAGACTCACAAAACTGAAAGACAAAACAAATGGTGAATTTCATGTATTTTGTGACGCAAGCAAAACCGCCCTTGGGGTGGC